CATGGCATTCTGATGGAGGTTACCTGCAGAGGATGATAATCACATTTTCTGCAACAAATGGGCTTTGCTAGCACCTCCTTAATATGGGATCAAAGACCAGGCAGCATCTGTGCAGCCAGTCTGTGCCTCATATCACTTCCCCTTGGCTCAGCTAAATTGGTGCTGTGCTAGGGACACCAGGGCTACTCCTAACTATTCCTGAAAGCTAAAAGCTACCGCTGCCTCCACTGACCTGCTGGTGGAAACAGTTACTGGATAATCCATCCACATGTGAATATACCCAGTATAATCTGTCCTTGCTCTCTCTCATGCGGTGTATTGGGCCAGAGCAGATGACACCCTGTGGACAGCTGCTCCTCATGCTTTTTCTTCCCCTGCACACCTCTGACACTTCCCGCTCATCGCTCACAATGTTGCTTGGGGCCTTGTTATTAGTCCGGCTGTCTTTTAGTCTTGGATGCCTCATGGGAAAAGAGGGGTCAGGCTTGAGCTTAGGCAAGAATTTTGCCATGATAGGGCAGAGTCGTGGTACCTACCTACACCTGCAGCTGAGTGATACACAAACCGAGGTCTTGTGATTTCACACAAACATATCAGTTCACTGAGTGTCTGAATTTCTGTTTTGATTTTTTGCTTGTTTGTGGTTTTTTGGTTTTCTTTTTTGTCTTTCTTGAGGCATCTTTGATATTAAGTAAAATTTGTCACTATATAAAAGAATATGTAAGTGTATTCTTAATTTAGCAGTGCAGAACTTTTCTTTCTGGCTATGACTGAATACATGATCTCTGTACAAATGTTCTGAATTCTTGGATATAAAACTTGTAATTAATTAACAGTGGTTACCCAGTCCTCTCACCTTCCTGAGGACACGTGCCTGTGTGCAGGCAGGTATTCATGGCTACGTGATAACCTGTAATCAGTGCAGGTCTGGCACTTCTTCAGTTTTCCTATTCCAAAATCCTTTGGTGTTCTCATTCCTAAATGAATAGAAATATGAAGAGATTTGAACTGTGATGTACACAATTTTACAATGCTTTTTGTCATTCTCAGACATTACGGATCGTTCCCTGGCACAAAAGACACTGTGTCCCGACTCAAAGACTTACCTGGGAGAGCACTATAACACACACTCTCTCTTCGGATGGTCACAGACAGCACCTACTTTCAAGTAAGTTTTCTAAGCCTATTTCAGGTGATTGAAATATATGTTAAAAGCTGCTGATGTTACCTGGGAAATCTGTAGTAGTATCTAATAAGAAACAACTCCATGCTTCATTTAGGAAGAAGTTTCAAGAAAACAGAATCTTGAAAGAAGAAACAGCATCTTTCCCAATTTTACTCTTCTTAGCTAAAATCAGGATCTGTTTGTAGGCCCTAGCTCTTCAGCTGCTGCTTTTGTATAACCAGAGCAAGATGTTCCTGTCCTCCGTCAGAGCTGCTCACGTGCAGCTGCCGCAGAAGCAGCCTTGTTGCTGTGGCCCAAGCAGAGGACTTTCTGTCACTGCTAGTGAAAGATCTGAACCTTGCAGCTTCCTGGCTGCTTCTGAAGCTGCCTCTGGTTCCTAGCAGGCAGTATTTTGTGTTTTGGCTTGGGACTCAGTCGGTGCAAGGAGGGCAGAGCTGCATTGCAGCACAGTTGCCGTCAGCTACTGTAAAACTGTTATTTTGCAGCTGGAAAGCACTCAAAACAAGCTAATGCAGGCAGACTGTTGCTGTGAAGCTGGAGTGACAGTGGAATGATAGCTGTTGGAATAAATCAAATGGGCAAACCATGCCTTTTCCAGCAGAGATTGAGCTACGTTTAATAAGTTTAATACTGCAGTCTAAGTGCCAAAGCAGGGGTCCTTGTGCTGGCTTATTTCAGTATTTAGCACTCATTTTCAGCAGTTGTGTTGTGATAGCATCCAGAGGACATGGCTAAGTGAGCCTACTTAAGGTGATGATGCACTTGTATTTTATACACTGAGCCTGGGGGAAGGGAAGCACTGGGTAAAAGCCAGAAGCAGTTTGCTGGCTCTTGAGGGCCTCGCTGAAGAGCAGCCCAGCTTTCAAGAGAAACAGAAAGCCCTCAAAACCTGCAGCTCACTGGCCGCCCAGCCCAGCTAGGATGCATGGGACTTGGCATGGTTTTTGGGCCCCAGTGCCCAATCTCAGCAAAGATCCTCCCAACGCTGGTCTCTCCACTGGGGTTTGTCCCCTGCACACTGGGGCCTACATAACCGTAGTCTTGGTAACACTGTTCGAATAGAGACTGGATTTGCCTATCTTCTTGAGACTATTTGTTTAGTTTTATTCAGGCTCTGTGCCAGCAAAGCCAATTGCCTGAGATAAACCCTATGAATTTAGCAGGAAAAGCTCCATGTGTTGGCACACCAGCTCCTTCAGTGTGCACACTGTCCCGACCACGCTAACCCAGACCATCTCTACAACCAGACCAAGGCCGTGGGGATGGTTATTGCTGCCCGGCTCCTTGCAGTCTCCCCTCAGGCTGTAAAACTCCCCTGTCCCTGCAGCTCTTGCTTCCAGGGCTTCTTCCAAAAGAAGCACATATTTTACTCAGCCAAATGTAGAGAGTCCTTCAAGGCTGGAGAACACCACCAAAAGCATAACGAGAGGCAGGATTTGCTGCAAAGCTGGGAAACTTTGGTGAATAATTATTCATACATATTCTTTCAGGTTTCTCAAATACTTTCCTTTTCAAGGCTGATTGTATACCCTTTCTGCATTTGTTCTTCACAAATAATGTAGTAAATTAAATTACTGACAGGAATATTTAGCTAACCAGCATAAATTGCAGGATATTGGCTGAAAATGAATGACAAGTTCATAATAATATAAAAAACAATTCTAAGAATTATTCTAGTGCAACCAGAGACTAGGAAATGTGTCATCTGACCCATGTATGCAGTCAAATGGCTTGAATTTGGGTACAGTGAACTAGCAGCAATCAGTTTATGCATAGCTTAACACCAAGAGTTATTTGCACATGGTATTCTGTAAACAATTTCAATCAGCAAATACATTTGACAACATTAGGACCTGTTCAGCAATGATTCACAATGGATTGAAATTTATGCAATAAATTATTCATTGCAAATTGTTTATGCAGCTTTGGGTCATAGTTGAGTTGATCTGATGTTGCTGTCATTAACACCTGTGTTCACAAGTGGAGCCAAAGGCTTGTGCTACACAGCCAGAGGAGAGGGCTCATAGTCAGGACACCCATGCAGTGGCTCCAAAAATGCCATTTATACAAAGCACATGAAGTCTTGTGCAGTTATTTGGCCCAGCAGTGCACCTACAACCCAGAACCAGCAGGTCTCCCATGGTACAAGTATTGTGCCTCTTGGCTTCATATGACCCATAAGGTTAATATGTTTAGGCTTAAATGAAAGCCGTTGCATTTTTTTTGCTTTGGAAATAAATGTTGAAGCATTTTAAAGGTTTTGTGTCATTACAGAATGAATTCTGAGTATTGGCCATTACAGATGAAAGAGATCGTGATTAAATCTCATTAAGGAAAAGGAGAAGAAGGTGGATGGTGAACATGATTAATACTTCATGCTAGGATTTCCCAGAGATTCTAAGTTGTGTTACCCAAATCATATTAAAGCATTAGTTGAATCTGAGTTCCTGCAACATATAATATTGCAATGTGTAGTTAAGTACAGAGATTGTGCTATGTTGAGGAATTTTATAACAGATTTGTTAATAAGGCATATCACACTTCCTTGATTTTCTGGTGATGCAGCAAAATTATTATCAAAACACAAGGAAAAATTCATTATACCACTAAATTTGTAAATAAACCTCATATATCAAACAATGACAGGAAATCAGAGGAAATACTACAAGGATGGGGTGGCATTTTGAATGATTACGTTTTTGCTTTCTGTATTAATTATTTCTTTAAGATGCTTGGATATAGTTTTAATTTTTTTTTCTATTTATACTTCCAGGATATTAGAGCTTTGTTTGCCGATACAAATCTCTAAATAAATCCTATATTGACAAAAATACATATTGTACTGGTTTTTAGGAACCTTGAAGGACGCTAAGTTAAATGTACTAATACAGAAAGGAAATTATGTTTCATTTTTTCAGTTTGATTCACTATTGAGAATAAATTAAACACAAATTATCTTTTAGGGAGACTAAAAATACCTGAAACAATTTGTTTTGTGGATCAGACAGATTTAAGTTTTTTATTTTGGCCACTGAATAAAACTTTCCATTATCTGCAGGTTTGCAGCCACAGTTTCACATGACTTGGAACCACAATAATAATTGTTTCATGAGTAACACCCATTTGGATAAAATTATGCCTGAAAGCTCAGGTTGATTATATGACTCTTTTGGTTTACTTTCTTTTGTTTTCATGATCTTGTTGCATTTCTTCACAGTGTTGTCCAGAAGGCAACTGGAAAGCGGGCATTTGTCTTGAGTCGGTCTACCTTTGTCGGCAGTGGGAAGCACGGGGGTCACTGGCTGGGTGACAACTTCTCTCAGTGGAGGGACATGCACCTGTCAATCATTGGAGTCCTGGAGTTCAACCTCTTTGGCATCCCCTACGTAAGTCTAATGTCCTTCAGGCAGCTGCTGGCTTGTACACAATATCACTTTAACCCAGATGTTTTCTGAAATAAGCTTCGAGATGGCCAGCAGTAACGGCCTCCACAGCATAAGGAACTGCAGATTAAAAAAAGCTAAATGTCATCAATCTTGGGTTGCTGAAGAGAAACAAAAATAGCACTGCTAGATTCGGATTAAATCACTGCATGCCAGCTAAAACCAATCTCTTTACATTACGTATTCTATCACTGAGGTCCCTCCATATATTTCTGATTTTGCAAGGTGCACTGGGGAATTTGTAGGATTATTGAAATATGGTCAGATCTTCCACAGTGATATTAATGCTCTAGGAGCTAGTACAATATCAGTCCTGGAACAAATCATATTATTGTGGAGCATTCATATATAGTCATCAGAAAAAGGTATCTCTTTCCAAAAATTTATTTTTATTAACAGTCTTCTGTGGCTTCTCATTTTTGTGCGTCAGTCACAATCACACCCAACGATTTTATTTTTTCTTTAGATTGGTGCTGATATCTGTGGGTTTAACCATAACACCACCTATGAACTCTGCTTGCGCTGGATGCAGCTTGGGTCTTTCTACCCATTTTCCAGAAACCACAATGCAGAGGGAAATATGGTAAGTAAATGAAGTTATACAAAGCTGAGATCTATGATTACAGTAACAGCAACGGTCACTTGTGTTACTTTCTCAGAAATTACCCTGCCATTTTCGGGTAAACTGGAGCAGCAGGTGAAAAGCAGTGCTGCACTAAGAGTGGGAATTACATGGTGAAGTGTAAATTTTTCCCATCCACAATGTAAAGATCACTTAGAAATGCTGAAAAATCTGTAGTATCTAACATCTGAAAGCCATGCAGAAATGTCTACCACATACTTTGAATGACAAAGAGTGGTTTTTCCCATGCTTTTGGTAAGATTCATTCCCTTCATCTTTTGCCTACTGAAGTCCAGGTTTTATTCAAGAGCCAGTGAGCATCCTCCTACTCCCTTGTTTACATCAATTTTTGTTTCAGTATTTATGTAAATATAATAGGTATTGCAGGAAGGGGAGAGAGGGTATTATACACCATCCTTGCTGTTTCAGACAAACACCACAGTTAGATACTCCAGACAAATGTGAGAACTCCAAGGAGAACCAGTGGTAGCAACAGCGTTATTAGCTGAGAAACAACAAAGACTAAACAAAGCCGATGAGCTCATGAGAAGGATGAAAAAGTGCAGTCTCAGTCCAGATCCGTGCCCTGGCTTCGGCTTATCGTGAAGTTCTTTCAAGAATTGTCTCAGATAGAAAGAAGTGTCAGGTTATTTCTAACTATGAACGGTTTGAAGGTCTTGCAGCCTTTGTAAGTACACTGTGTTTATCTGCAGCTGTGATGAAATGGTTCTGCTAGTTTGCTAGTTCAATAAAGGTCTTTTTTTTTTTTTTTTTTTACTTCTGTAAACTGCTCTGGGCAGTGCTGGAGCTCAGGTTATCAGCTAACCTTCAGTTTTCTTTGAAGTTTCATCATCAAAATGTTGCAGCATTTACATTACACTCCCAGAAAGACCTCTGTCTCTGCGTGAAAGTATGATTGCCATTCAGCAACTGGACAAATGCAGGAATAATAAGCTGTACCACTGTCATTAAGAGCATCAGGAATTACCCTGTAGATTCCTGAGATATGCTGAGATATTTCTTTCTAGGACAACAAATGTCTGTGAGGCATTAACTGCTGCTGTTGATAAATACTTTCTATTCACCTCTCCTCTAAAATTAGAGGTACCTTGTCTATATATCTTTGCTCGGCCCTTTGGGCATGCAAATGGGCCTGACCTGGGTGAGTGGGTGTTAATCACATATCCACAATTTAATAAGAAGAACAAGAGCAATGGGTCTACATGACGGGTGCTCCATTGACTGAATGACAGAAGTAACAGAAGATATGTTTGTTTTTATTGGATTACTTAAATCCGTTTCAAACATTGTGTTCACTGGAAGAAATGAATAAGGCATTTTGGGTGACTCAGCATCACCTAAGAAGTCTGTCTGTTTTTTATGTGAACTTAGGCGATATTTGTACAGTGTCAGAATACTGGTAAAAACACAGTGCCATTTTTGAACTAATAGATGGATGCTCTGGAGCTCAGAGTCAGCAGGGAATATTATCAGTGACAAATTATCATGTAAACATATTAATGGAGAAATTTAACTTAAATATTGAGTTTAATTAATATTAAGTTAGTATAAAAATAAAATCTTAAACATCCACTTTGCCTAATCCATTTGGGATTTCAAATAGTATAATTAATACTTTTCTTGTCTGAAAAGAACTAGATAATATAAAAAGCTTTGTTACTTCTGTTCCTTTTATGTTTCATTATCCTTGAAATTCATCATACATTCTTCAATCTTAATGAGAAACCTGAGTATTATGGGAGAATTTTGTGAAGGAGGAAGGGAGCCGTGTGACTCAGTAGCTGACTCAGTTTAGTGCTGAGGAAGGTTGGACAGGTGGAGTTGAAGAAGATGCAGCTCTTTCC